TGAGGTGGCGGGAAGGGTGAAAGGAAACTGCACCCTGGGCTGAGCTGGAGAAGAAGCGGAGAGGTGGCCTCTGGGAAGATGCGCTGTTGTTTAAGGGCTTCAGCCGACTGGGATGGCCACCATAATAATTCAGCAGTTCATACCAGGGCCAGAGCCTGTCGTTTGTTGTATTACATATTGTTACCTTCAAAATAGTTCAGACTGTAAACAACTGCACATTAGCTGTTCCTTTCAATAAACCACTAAATATTAGCAGTACAGTTGCCTAGGCTATCGTGTGTGTGTGTGTGTGTGTGTGTGTGTGTGTGTGTCTTTTTCTTTCTTTTCTCTTTTCCCCCATCCTAGTTGTTCTTTCCTTTTAAGCAGTTTTTTTCCCCTTTCACAATATCTGTTATACCTTTTGGATCATACTTATCCTTTCAGTTTCTTACATTAGTGAGACTATACAATGTTTACATAAGTAGGTCTAATTTACTTCAATTATGAGTATGATCTCTAGTTGCATCCATTTACCTATAAAAGCCTCAAGTTTTTCTTGATAGCTGAGTAACACTCCATTGTATAAAAATACACATTTTTTTTTATCCATTCCTCAGGTGATGGGCAGTTGGGTTGTTTCCAAGATTCAGCTTTGACAAATTGTGCTGCTATACACATGGGTGCACGTACATCATTGTAGTATGATGTTTTCAACTCTTCTTGAAAAACTCCCAGAAGGGAAATGGCTGGATTGAATGGGACTCCAAACCTAGTTGTTTGAGGAATCTCCATTGATTCTGATAGTGGTCATACCGGTCTACACTTGCACCAACAGTAGAGAAGGGTCCTTTTTCCCCACAGCCTTAGCAGCACTTGTTATTGGTTGATTTCTTGATGATAGCCATCCTTTCTGGGGTGAGATGGAATCTCAGTGTTGTTTTACTTTGCATTTCTTGAATGACCAGTGATGTTGAACATTTTTTCATATATTAATTGCCATTTTTAATTCTTTATCTGAGAAATGTGTATTCATCTCAGATGCCCATTTTTAGATTGGATCTTTGAATTTTGGGGGCCTGAATTTTTAACATTTTTTATGCATTCTAGATAGAAGTCCTTTGTTTGAGTGACTGTTGGTTAATATTTTTTCCCAGTCAGTGGGCTTTCCTTTCACTCTGTTGGTGACTTCTTCTGATGTGCACAAACTTCAATAAGATGAGATCCCATTTGTTGATTCTTTGAAGTGTTCCTGTGCAGTTTGGTTTTTGTTCATGAACTCTCTGCCTACCCCTATGTCTCCAAAAAATCTACCTACGTTAGTGTGTTTGTTTTAATGTTTAGATGTTTAATTCATTTTGACTTTAGATTAGTGGGTAGTGATAGCCATAGATCTAGTTTTAGTTTTTGACATGTGGGAAGCCAGTTTTTCCAGCACCATTTATTAATAAGTGTATCTTTCTTCCAGTGAATGTATTTGGCCTCTTTGTCAAAGATAAAGTAGTTGAGTGTGTTTATAGTTGTGCCTGCATCTTCTAATCTGTTTCATTGATCCTCAGGGCTATTTTATTTTATTTTTTGGTAGTACCATGCTGATTTTATCACATAAAATACTAATTTTATCACCGTAGCTTTGTAGTACAATTTCAAGTCAGGGATTATGATGCCTCCTGCCTTTCCTTTGTTGCCCAGGATTGCCTTTGCTATTGTAGGAATATCCGTTTTCTGAAATCTGTTTTGATCTCTTTTTTACTATAATTTTCACTGTATAGATCATTTACTTTGTTGGATTGATTCCTAGGTATTTCATTTTTGGGGGTGCTAGTATAAAGGGTGTTGTTTCCCTAATTTCTCTTGCAGTGAGTGTTTTGTGTCCAAGAATGTTATTGATTTTTTTTTTTTTTTTTTTTTTTTTTTTTTTT